CGGAGGACCAGCTGCTGGCGTGGCTTGACCTGCTCCTCCTCATCGCCTGGAAGCACATGGTGCTCCCTCCCCATCTCGAGTCTAGCCCTGTCGATGTGCCCTGACCGCGTGTGGTGTCGTGTGCGGTGTGTGTCGTGTCATGTGCGTGGTGACAGTCTACACAAACAGCCAAGTCTCGCAAGGGGTGGTTGGCCTTCCCCTTTGTTACCCTCAAGCGCGCCACCACCGACGAGTCCGACCCGGCCGCCGCCGTCTTCAGCGACTACGAGTACCTGGGCCTCACCACCGTCGGTACGCCACCAAAAATTATAAATTATATTTTAAACAATTACATTAAAACAACATATAAATTTTAATTGCAGTTTTTATTTATGGTATTTTTAATAAATATCAACCAATCGCGACCGCAGAGGAAGCGAACGGTTGGCAGCTGGAGTGGACGGAAGAGGGCGAGAAAGCCTTCCAGCACTGGAGCGCGCGCGAGGACGAGATCAAGGCCCTGGGCTCGCTGCGCCGCCGGCTGATCGACGACCGCGCCGAGGCCGCCCTCGCCGACGCTCGCAAGGCGCTCGACACCGCCATCGGACGCGGGCGGGCGCGGCCAACCCGGCAGAGCAAGGCCACAGTGATCGACCTCACCGCCGGTGCGTTCGATCGAACACAACGCACCCGACCAATTCCTGACGCGTGTCATGTGTGCGTGTGCGGCGTGTCGTGTCGTGTCGTGCGTGTGCGGTGTGTCGTGTGTCGTGTCGTGCAGAAACGGTGGTGAAGCTGAGCGCGGAGGTGGGGGCTCTGAGGGAGGAGCTGAGCAAGCTGCTCGCGGAGACCAAGAAGCAGAAGAAGAAGCGACTGCGCGTAAAGAAGGAGAAAAAGGAGAAGAAGAAGAAGGAGAAGAAGAGGAAGAAGGAGGAGGAGAAGGAGAAGGAGGCCATAGAGAATGAAGAGAGCGACGACGATCGCAGCGATGATGACAATGAAGAAGACGACGACGGCGACGATGATGATGAGATCGAGGACGAAGGGGACGACCAAAGCCAGACAACACTCTCGAGGAAGAGGAAGCGCCAAGAGGAAGAAGAGAAAGAGAAGAAGAAGAAGGGCAAGAGCAAGAAGAAGAAGAGCAGCAAGAAGAAGGCGAAGAAGAGGCGAACAGGTGATGAAGGAGAAGAAGCAGAGAAGGAGGAGGAGAAGAAGATGGCTGAGCCAGAGGAACAAGACAACGACGACGACGGCGACGGCGACGATGGTGAAGAGCGCCACAGTTTGGTGCGTCGCCGCAAGCGTCGGGCCAGGAGCCTCTTCGAGATGCGTGCCGGCAGCTGCACGCAGAGTTGAACCCCAGGCTGCCTAAGACATCACAACGAGCACTCAACCAGACTAGAGCACGCGACACACACGACACACAACACGACACACAGCACCTAACAATTAAAGACACGCTTCTTTTTCATCTCTTGATCGATTCCAGAAGGGTGTTGGCCGTGTTCAGCTTCTCTTGTCTTGAGTTGAGCCACTGCTTTGGAGGTTTCATCTCTTTTGTTGCCTTTCGAAATGGCTGACTTGGCAAGAAGGAAGAAGGAGGATGCGATTCGCTTGAAGGCGTGGCTGGAGCCCCACCTGCCCAGCATCAACCGCCTGCAGGCCATCCTCCTGTGGCTCGACACCACTGGTACCATCTCCTCATCTTCATTCTGGATTGTGTGATGCTCATACATCTTTTCTTCCCCATCTGCACTCTACAGGTCAGGTTCAATTCGTGGTCCTTTGTGTTCTGACCCACATGGCGCTCGGGTTGGTGCCCCCTTCCCTTCATCATCGAAATTCAGATCCATGTAGCAGCTTCATCATTTTTTTCTGAATGATCCATCTCTTGCTTGGCTGTGGTCGTGCGGTGGGCAACAGGCTGGGCGCGCACCTGGCCGAAGGGGTGACGCTGCCGGCGGTGGTGCCCTACGCGCTCGGGCTATACCTCCTCGCCCGCTACGCCGTCGTGGCCGCTCCCATTCCCTGGGAGTCCATTCTGGTACCCACTTCCCTCTCGCTGGCCACAACATGCGTCGTGTCACGTGCGTGCGTGGTGTGTGTGTGTGTGCCGTGTGTGTGTCGTGTGTGTGTCGTGTGTCGTGTGTGTGTGCGTCGTGTGTGCGTCTGACGTGGACAACACACACCAGTCTGTGGGTGCGACGGGAGCGAGGCCTCCCTACGCACTCGACGACATCGTGCAGGCGGTTGTGTCGGCGCAGCACTTCGTGCTCACCGTCTACTATGAAATGCAGAGGCTCAGGGACATCAACTACGCCAAGGTTCGTGTTGTGTGTGTGTGTGTGTGTGTTGCATTCGCTTACACGGCGCGGTACAGTACACGGCCCAGGTGTGCGCCATCTTGTTTGTGGTGGGTCTCCTCCTCAACCGTATCTCCGGCTACACCTTCATCTACATCATCGGTAACGCTACGCACCACAGACACACACACACACACACACGACTGCACCTAACACCGATGCCCAACACCAGTCTTTAGCGTGCTCCTGCTCCCGGGCATCTACACGCACGGCGTGTTTGGCAAGCTCTGGTCTCTCGCTGAGTCGCACCCGCAGGTCGGCCGCGTCATGGGCATGGCCAAGGACCAGTACACCAAACGTACTCATTCTCATTATTCTCATCACCATCTCCCCCTCCCCTTCTCATCGTGTGTGTGTCGTGTGTGTCGTGTGTGTCGTCTTTGGTCGTGCGTGTCGTGTGTGTTGTGTGCAGTCGCAAGCAATTTGGGCTTCCGCCCCTCGCAGCCACAGGTGCGGCAGCAGCAGCCGGCGGCGCCGGCGGCCCCTGCCACTACCTCGACGGCGGGCACAACGCCGACGGTGAGCGTCGGCTCGTCTACGGTGAACGTCAACTCGAACGCTGGCAAGGCGCACCAGCCCCAGCAGCCCGAGGCGGGCGCGACGACGTCAGCCATCGCGGCCGTGCCCGAGGAGGACGCCGACGACTTTGTGCAGATCCCTTCGGACAAGAAGCACGACTGAGCCCGTGGTGCTGGTTACTATGCAACCACTATGAAACAGGTTTCATTTTCAATTGGAAAACTGCATTTTGAAAAATTACAACGTAACCTCTCAAGCAAGCGATGGGCGATGACGATCACCAGTAGGCCCACGTTCTGCCGGTGAAGCACAGACGAGCCAGCGGTGCCCGGCCGATTGTGTCATCCAGGTTGAACTCGTCGTTGGTGAGCTCCTCCTCTTCGTCGTCGCCCTCGAAGCGCTCGCACCCGTTCCACGCCACCAGCTGGGCCACGAACATTAGCGCGCTCGCCACCTGCCTCGCAAACTCGGCCTCCTCCCTGGCACCCTCGTCCTCTAGCCCCGCGTCCAAGTCTTCGCTTTCGCTTTCGTTTTCGTCGTCTTCGTCTTCGCTTTCGCTTTCTTTCTTCTTCTTCGCTTTGGTGTTGTTCGGGGTCATGCCCAGCGCGCGGCCCACCTGAACCAGCTTCTGGGTGGCCACCGTAACAAGGGGGCCGTTGCCGTGGGGGTTGTATGGAAGGAATGGCACGCACTTGACCAGCACCTGCACCGCGTTGTCGCCGCCGGGTGCGCAGGCCTGGGCCGTGATGAGCAGCAACTGGGCCGCGACGCCCCTCTCGTCTTCGCAGCTGCTCAGCTCGCACCGGAACAACACGAGATCGGCGGCCGACGAGGCGGGCGGCGATGGCAGCGGCCGGAGGGCGAAGCGCGCGCAGATGTGCGTGTGCCGCGGCTCTTCGCCCGAACCACCCGGACCCCGCACGGTGAACGACTGGCACCCGAGCACGCGCACACTGTCCAACACCTTCATATGGCACCGCGTCAGGCACACACCGCACACACCGCACCGCGCATCGCACACGCACATCGCACGCGCACGCGCACGCGCACACGTACACGGCACACACACCGCACACACGGAACACGCACGAACCTGAGGGGGAATGTGTGCAACGGGTTGGTCGATGCGGCCGACTGGTGACAGGCCATGCAGGACCTCGAGGGCGTGGCCGATGTGCGACACGCGCAGCTGGCCAACGTAGCGCTCGACGGTGCGCGCCACCAGCTCCCACGCGACCAGCGCCTGCCGTCGCCCCAGCCCCGCTGGCTGCGCCACGTGGCCGCGCAGAAATTGGTTCCAGCCCCTCAGCAGCGGCTCCTGCATTTGTGGCGTCGCGTGTGTGTCGTGTGCGTGTGCGGTGATCATGGTGTGTACGACACGACACGCACGACACACACGACACACATACCACGGATCGCCGTTCGTTGAATCTCGCCGTGGTCCGCTCCACGCACTCTGCGTCGGCCAACTCGCGCGCCTCGTCGTCTTCGGCGTCTTCGTCCACCGCGCCCCCGGCCTTGAAGGGGTTCGCGTCGAGCACGTCGGCGCGGCTCATGAAGCCCAGGCAGCCCAGCAGCACCGCCGCCACCTCGTGCCCGCCCCACACCTCGTCGTCGTCATCGTTCTTTTCGATCGTCATCGGGTCGTCGCCGCCGACGGGGCGGCAGGCGAAGCCGAGCGCGGCCCAGAGCTTGGCGAGCAGGGCCGTGTGCAGCCGCGCTTCGCCCTGGCTCCACCCGATCAGCGCGCGCGTCGTCGACTGTTCGCCGCCGTCGGCGTCGTGGGCCGCCGCTGCTGCCGGGTGGTGGCCGGAAGCGTCGAGCGGCTGCGGCGGCGGCGGCTGGGCGGTGGAGAGGCCCAGACGGCGGCACCACTCCGTCGAGCGCGTGTGGAGCGCGAGGAGCACCGTGAGGTCGGTCTCGTAGGTCAACTCCGACACAAGACCAATCTCCACCAGCTCTGTGCGTGTGCGCACGACACGACACGACACGACACATGACACGACACACGACACGACACACATGGCGGGTGTGAAACAGACGGGGAAAAAGAGAAAGAAAAGAAGAGAAAAGGGAAACCCACCGTGGGGTAGGCCGGGGAGCGAGAGCGTGAGGCTGGCGTCGATGGCCTGGCAGCCGACCCCGCCCACCAGGTCGCTCCTGTGGGCCAAGTGCACCACCCGCAGCCGCGGCTGCTGCCCCGCCTCCTCCCCCTCCTCCTCGGGGCGCGTCAGTCGGGCGAGCGCTCTGCGCTTGGCCCGCCCGATCTTCCATTCTCGACACACCTCCTCCACCACCTCCTCCAGCCTATCGTGTGTCGTGTCGCGTGTGTCGTGTCGTGTCGCGTGTGTCGTGTGTGTCACGTACGTGCCGTGCGTGTCGTGTGTCGTGTCGCGTGTGTCGCGTGTGTCGTGTCGCGTGTGTCGCGTGTGTCGTGTCGTGTCAGGGTTGAGATATGGGCAGCCAATGGAAGGGCAGGGCCGAACCGCAGTTGGTGGAGCAGCGCGTGGGCTCGTCCGGTGAGGGCGCTCGCCTGCTGGGTCAGCCGCCGCGCGGCTTCGATGTCGCCAATGGCCGGCGCCGCGGGGCCGACCTGCTCCCGGAGCCACGCGTGGAGCTGGTCCACGAACGACAGCGGCGGAAGGCGCAGCACCAGGTCCACGCGGTCGCGCAGGGCGCGGCACGTGGCGCGCAGGGCCAGCACCGCGGCGTCGATGCGCGGCGCGAGCGTGTGGTGGCCGTACTGGTCCGTGTCATCGTGCCTGGTCGGGGTGGTGATGAGACTTGCCACGTCTTTAATATATATATTATATATATGGAATATAATATAGTACCAGAAGCTCTCTGGGCAGGGAGTGGCGGGGTCGTCGCCGCGCTCGAGGAAGGCCTTGGCCGCGTGGTAGAGACGCCGCCTGTGGTTCGGCAGCACTCGCACTGCCCAGAAAGAGGAAAAATAAATAAAAATTATCTTCAAATAGAAAAGATATCAAATAAATTGCATTTATTGTTCTTCTTGTTTGGGGGGGGGGCAAGTGCGTACAGCCGTGGGAGGGCGGAAGGAAGAAGCTGAGGAGGTGGGCCAGCACCAGGTCCGGCAGGCTGCTCAGCAGGTCCCACAGGGAGCCACCAGGTGGCAAGTCAGCTTCTTCCTCGCCCGAGGTGGAGCAAAGTCGTGCCTTCTTGCACGGCCGCTTGTTCATCTTTGACTTCGTGAGTTAAGTCTTCGCTTTCGTTTTCGCTCTTTTGTACGCGGGAAGCATTTCTTTCTAAAAGACAAGAAAGAAGACGAGAAAATGAATAAACAAAAAACGACCTCGCTCGCGCTTGTTCAGGAGGCCGTGGCGTCGGGCGAGGTGACCAGATCGAACGCGCACGCCACGAACCGATCCCGATATCGTGGTGGCGGCTGCACCGATACTCCATGCTGCACACACCACACCACACACGTGTTTTTTTCCCCGCACACACGACACGACACGACACGCGCACACACCTCAAATTAGACAACAAAACAAACAGTGTTGTTTTGATCAAGGCAAACGACAACAGACCACAGAGAGCAAGAGGCAAGCTGGAGCGACGTACGAAATCCTTGTGCATGACGCGCACTTTCCAGAAGCGCTCGGCCTTCTTGTTGAGGTCGTAGAGCTGCAGGATGTCGATGATGCACAGATAGTAGATCTCCTTCCCATCCACCGACAAGAACCCCTCATCCCTGCATGTGGTGTCGTTGTGTGTGCGGCGTGTGTGTGTGTGTGTGTGGCGTGTTGTCGCGTGTTAGTTCTCTGTAGGCATCGTCACAATCCGCACAACACGCCGCACACGCAACACGCACTACGGTACCTGAACAGTCGGCCCTCGACGTCGTCGCTAAATTCGTCCTCGCTGTCGTACGAATCAGTCGAGTAGTCGCTTTCATCCGCGTAGGCGTCTTCAATCTTCTCCTTCTTCTTCTTCTCCTTCTTCACTTCGTCATCGTCGCTGGTGCGGCGGGCGCGGAGCGGCGTGTGGCTGCCCGACTTGTCCTGCTCGGCATCGTCGACGTAGTCTTCGGGGCTGCTGGCTGCGAGGTTGATGGAATGGTCTGAGGAGGGCAGCGGAGGCGAGGAGTGCGAAGCATTATTGGTGGTGCTGCCTCTCTCCCGCCTTCTTCTACTTCTTCCGCTCTTCTTCATCTTCTTCTTGTCCATCTTCTTCTGGTTGCGGCGCTGTTTTTCAATTTCGGAGACGGAGGGGCGAATGTGGAGGGGAATGTAATTCTCCCGCTCTAAACTGAGCACGCCGTCTATGTATGGATATGGAGAACACGCACACGCACACGCGCACACGCACACACGAGCGTGAAAACACTCGCCCAACCGCACACGCACACGCACACGCGCACGCACCACCGCACACGCACAGGAACAGAGGAATGGAGAAAAGAGGGGGGGAGGTGCGGGCGTACCCAAGGTGCTCTCGACGGTGCTCGGGCCAGCTTCGAGGTCCTCGGCGCGCCGGCCGCCGACGAGCAGCGGTCGTCGGTCGTCGCCTTCGCCTTCGCTTTCGCTTTCGCTTTCATCGCCGTTCTTCAGGAGCCGCTGCGGCGTCGACGAGGCGCCGGCGCCGCCATCCGTAGCGTCGGCGGCGCCACTCGCCGCGACCCCTTCGATCGCGGCCGTGGTGCCTTCGGCGGCTCTGTCGACAAAATGGATGCCCAGCAGGATGGAGTAGTCCATAATTCCCAAGCTGCACATGAACTGTCGACACCAAACACAAAACAAAACAATTTATCGTTAAATAAAATAAAATAATCTCATTAATTACATAAATACTCATCATAATAAATAAATAAAGGAAAAAAAAGGGAGTGTGCGTACGGTGGCGTCGTCGGTGATTTGTTGGACCATGGCCGTTCGCTGCTCGTTGGTCAGCCGCACCTTGCGTCCCATTGCCTGGGGGCGGCCGCACACGTGTGGTGTGTGGTGTGTTGGTCAGCGCGTGCGTAGCACTCGACGTACATAACGTGGGTTGGTGGGTGGTGAGGGCGGTGGCCTGGCTTACTTACCTTGAGGTCGATGTCCATGCCAAGGACCTTGCCCGGGTTGTCCCGGAAGTCCTTGCCCACCTCTCTTCGCACCCACGAGCCCTGCGATCGGCCCGACATCATCAAATCACAACCACAACCCGTCGTGTGTCGTGTGTGTCGTGTGTGTCGTGTCGTTGGTCGTGTCGTGTCGTGTGTGTCGTGTGTCGTGTGTGTCGTGCGTGTCGTGCGTGTCGTGTGTGTCGTGCGTGTCGTGCGTGTCGTGTGTGTCGTGTCGTGCGTGTCGTGCGTGTCGTGTGTGTCGTGTCGTGTCGTTGGTCGTGTCGTGTCGTGTTGTTGGTCGTGTCGTGTCGTGTGTGTCGTGCCACGAGTTGCTGCGTGTGCGTACCTTGAGATCGTATCGTTCGTGGATCTTGCGGTGCGTTCGGAAGGCGTTGCTCATCACGATGACGAAGACCTGGTCGCCGTAGTGCATCTTGATCGCGTGGAGGCCGTAGAAGCGCATCAACCGCGAATCCGGGTTGTTGCCGATGTACTGCACCACCACCAATTAATCCATTAATGTATTAAGTAATAAAAAACTACAATAATTCAAATGAATAAATGAATAAATGAATAAATAAACGAATAAATGAGCAAATGAATAAAAACAACTAAAATGTGAGTGTGACGTCAGCAGATGGTGCCAGACCTGGTAGTAGGCGGGCAGGATCTTGTTGAGGAGTTTGGCCTCGGACTCGGGGATGGTCTTGATGATGAAGCACTTGTCCGGCGAGAAGCAGAAGAAGCTCCCGCTGCGGCCCTCCGAGAACTTTTGGTTCGATAGGCTCTTGAGGAACAACTCCGGCTGAATCGACGCCTGCGCACGGCCAGCGACAAGAGACACAGTCAGACGACACGACACACACGACACGCACGTCACACCGCAGGTGTACGACACACAAGAGAGAGAGAGAGCGGCGTACCATGTAGGCCTCGGGGGTGATGCCGGCCTGGGCGCGAAGCTTCTGGAAGACATAGGGACAGTAGTCCACGAATCGATACTCCTTCATCGTGCGCGTGTTCTCGTACCTGTCCCACACGCCCAACATTGGTAAGAAAAAGGAATTGATTATGTAATAAATTAATTTATTAATATTATCTCTCATCAACTATAATAAATAAATCAATAATAATAATATAGTTTACACTTAATTGATAAAAGAGGCCGTACTTGAGTTCGAGGATGTCGCGCACTTCCCTGAAGTCGGCCTCGTTGAGCGGCTCCT